CCAAGGACTGTTTTCTATTTTGTTTCAGTTGTATTTTGTGTTTTTTGTTTCTGCTCTACTTGGAATCAGAGATCAGTAGAAAGAGTGTCATGTAAATTTATATTTTATTAAAATAAATAAATATATTAATCGATAAATAAATATTTTTTATTGAGAAAAACTTTATTTTTTTTTTTATTGTAAACTTATAAATATAAGTTGAATAAATCTAAATTAAGCTTTATTTATAATTTTATTATTGTAAGTAAAACAATTGGTTTTTTGTTTTCTTGTACATTAAATAGACAAAAGTCTGTTTAACAATCAAGAAAGCAAATACGCCAATTGTTTTAATGAGTGTTTTATTTTTCTTAACTGAAAGACAATCTAATATTGTTCGTTTATTGTACAAAATTTTTATCAAATGTTGTGTACATAAACTTTATTTTCTTATCAGAGTTCTATAAAAATCCTAACAAAATGTTTTTAGTGTTCTTTACGATTTATTCGTTTTAAAGCAAAAATTCAAATGTACAATCAAATTTTTAAACAAAACTTTAAACTCAAACAAAATGATTCATCAAACTTTCTACACTACTCTTATTCTTATTTGCATCTTCGGACTGTTTCTTACAAATCTTTTTTATAGTGAATACCATGAATGTATTTACCAATACTTTATTAAAATTATCTATTTCAAAATATTCTTTTGGATTTGTGCGATTACTATATATATTTTAATAATCGCAATTACAATTTTTGTTACAGTTTCAATAATTTCACTTTATTATTAGAACTTTTTATTTGAAAATTTTCCAGAAAGATTTATTTCTTAATTTAAATCACTGCTCTTTTTGATTACTAATTATATTAGTAATCTTTGTCAAAGTTTTTTTTTAGCAAATATGTATTAATTTTATTTAATACTTTTAAACATAATGGAATTTTTAATCAATTAATTTATTATTTTCTTTAACCGACAAGCCAACATGTTATCAATATACAGAAGATTTACAAATCTTCTATCCATAACAAATTATCAAGTAACATATTAAAACATGTCAATAGACCAGATAAACTAGTCGAAGACCTCTTGAACTTTTTTATTTATAGTTTTAATTTAATTATTTTATCTTCATTTGGAATTTGACACTTTAGAATATTTTATTATTCTATTTAATTATTCATTTAGAATTAATTCTTTTGAATTGAATGAGACGATTCATAAAGAATTAGAAGTTAAAAATTTATTTATTAATTATTAATATATATACAAATTTAGAATTTACAACAAAAATTTTTTACATAAATCTATATTGTGTAAATCCATTTTCTGTCTTGCCTATAAAGAATAGACAAGATTTTACACTAAACCATTTTATTTCTTCTTCTGGGTCTGGGTCTTGCCATGTATCTTCTTCACTTTCAATATCAAAGCATTTTGGTTCATCTAGTCTTGTTGGTTTTACTTTATGAGTAGCCAAACTGTCCAAGTTTTGAACAGCAAAAGAGACAACTTCACGAACAGTTGGACCTTCTTTAAGAATACCAGCTATTTGTCCATGGTATTCAGTTTGAAAAAAGTGAAGATATTTAAAGCCAGAGTCATTTGGAGTCGCAAGAGAATAAATTATTGTATTATAAATTTTTTCAGTTAAAAATTTGTTAAAAAATTTTTTGAGAGAAGAATAGAAAGATATAGGCATTTTAAAAAATAGATTGTATTGTATTTTTAAAAAAAACATTTGTTGTTAATCATCTACTTAAATAAAGTTTTCTTATTAAAAATTAATTTTTTCAAATAAAGAAATTTATAATAGTTTTATTAAATTTATTTATTATTTTATTTATATGTATTTAAAAGAAATAATAAATTTTATAGAAAATAAATTATATTTATAGATTTTTAGAAGTTTAAATCTTAAAGAATTTAGAATTTAATAAATATATTTATTAATTTCATAATTATTAATTATCAGATGTTCTAGGATTAGAATCAAGTTTTGCTAAAATTTTTTTTCTATTCATCACAAATCTTGTAATAAACATTTCCATAATTCTTCGATTATATGATATAATATCTTGAGGATTTTTTGGATAACCATTATAATTTTCAATATAAAAATTTTTTTTTTCTTCAGTAGTTTTTCTTTCAATAATTTCTTCAATATCACCAAATGTAAGTGAACAAAAACTCATAAATAACATTATATCTTCATTTTTTACTTTTTCTTTAAATTCACGTAATTTTTGAAATTCTTTTTCAATTTCTTCTTTTGAACATGACATTTTTATTTTTGTTATACAGAGGATAAGAGTTTAATGTTTTTGTATGAAAAACCAATTAGTTTTATAGATTTTTTAAAGTTTTTAATTAATACTTTATTGGTTAAAATTTAATAATAATGAAAAAATATAAAAATAGTATCACAACAATGTTATGATAACATAATATTTAAGATAAATAAAAAATGAGTAATTTAGAATATTCTCTTCGATTGAATCTTTTTCTTGAAAAGTAATTAATTTACTAAGTTATTTATGCTTTATTAAAAAATATATTAATTTTTATTTTTATTTAGTATGTCAACAATTGCTGGTGTTTTAAGTTTTTTAGAAGATAAGAAAACACTAATGTACAAGGTTTTCAAAATATTGATTTTTTGATAAAAGTTGAAAAATTCGAAGATTAAGATTTTCAAGCAAGAATGTTTTTTCTTGATGATGATTCAGTAGTAAAACTTTTTGACATTCCTAAAGATATTGAAGTTAAAGAAATCAATAAAGTTACTAATAAGACTAAATTGATATGACCTTTTTTTAGAAGTAATTATTTTATGATTAATCATCCTAAAAAATATGAAGTTAATTATAAAGATAAAAAAATTTTTGCATTGATTCTTGAACAAAAAAGATATACTATTCATAATTTTGATAAACCTAATAATTTAAAAGATTATGAAGTTCAAAAACGAATTACTAAAGCAATTGAAACTATTATCAAATTAGAATAGCAAAATTTATTTATTTAAAAATATACATTATACATAAAAAAATTACAAATTATTATATTGAATTTTTTGTTTGTATTTTTTGTTTTGATGTTCTTTTTTTCTTCTTTTTCTTTCTTCTTTTAGGATTTTTAGTTCTTCTTCTGCTTTTTTTCTTTTTCTATTATTAATAAAATTATTATTATTTATTATTATTGTTATTGTTTTTTAAATATTCATACTTTTTTAATTCGAAAATTTGATCATCATAATCAATAAGTTCAAGTTCAACATCTTCAATTGAACGTTTTAAAATTAGAGGTCTTGTATGTAAAGAGGAAGAAAAATAAGTAATGTTTTCATGTTCTTGTTGTTTATATTGTTCTTGTTGTTCTTGTTGTTGTTGAGACATTTTTTAATAATGAAAAAATAAATTTCATCACTTTTTAATATTAAAAAAATTATTAAATATACTTATGATCATTGATAATGATGATGTAAATAATAATGATTTTTTTACTTTATCAAAAGTTTAATTTATTATTAATTGATATCATAGTAATTGAGTTAAATTTATAACAGTGATTTTGTGATGTTTCATAATTTTTTTTATTTTTTTTTAAAAAAATTTTTTGAAAATTTTTGTTGTTTTTTAACAAATATAAATTTAATTTAATGTTTGTTAATCATGATTGATTGGTTGAGTATTAATAAATTTCAAAATACTAAAATAATGAAAGCTCATTGGTGTGATATGCATTCGAATTTGAGTATTTTAAAATATTACTCGAGTATTTTTGATTTACAAGTTTTCAAAATACTAAAATAATGAAAGCTCATTGGTATGATATGCATTCGAATTTGAGTATTTTAAAATATTACTCGAATATTTTTGATTTACGAATTTTTAAAATACTAAAATAATGAAAGCTCATTGATGCGATATGAATTCGAATTTGAGTATTTTAAAATATTATTTGAGTATTTTTGATTTTCAAATTTTTAAAATACTTGCGATATGTATTCGAATTTGAGTATTTTAAAATTTTACTCAACTATTTTGATTTTTAAATTTAAAAATTTAAAATATTTATCTATTTAATCCCATAATTTTAAGTTTTATAAAATATTTATAAAATTATTAACAAAAATTAAAATATTTTAAAGATATAATAGAATTTAACTGGGAAAATAAATTTAAGAAGTTTGAAGTTATTACTGATTGGAAAAAATACACTAATTCTAATAAACCAAGACATAAACTAAATGAATATCGACTTGTGAAGATCGATTTCAAATTGTGTCTTCAAGTCAAAATACAAAAAGAAAAAATTATATTCTTATATGATCTTGACAACTTTAGTTTTTTACAAAACTATACTTGGCATGGTTATAAAGGAAAAACACATAATATATATTATATTGCAACATATGATAAAAAAAAAATATTCAGAAAACTTTATTTTTTCATCGAATGATTTATCCAAATTACAAAATGATTGATCATATTAATAGAATTGGAATGGATAATCATAAAAGTAATCTTCGAGAAACAACAAAAAGAGTAAATATTGGTGTTTTAGATGGACTGAAAATAATAAACATAAAGTAAAAGCTTTTTATATTACAAAAAAATGAACAAGTGAACAAGCAAAACAACTAGCTATCAATTTTAAGTTAGCTCATGACAAATTAACCAATAATAGAAATGGTTACAGTATCACAAAATTTTGATAAGTTATTTAAATATAAATGATACATATCAATATTTTATTCTTTATTTATGTTGCGAAAAATAAATTCACATAAAATATGAAATTTTTTTACAAATATTGATGATGGATATATTGAATGTGAAATTTGTCAAAGAAAATATAAAAATCCTATTCTTGAAGTTATAAAGAATCATTTTATAAAAAAACATAATGATAAATAGTTAGAAATAAGAGCTTCAACTGTTATTTTAGCATATTCAAAAATAAAAAAAAAACATTTTACAATTTGAAAAAAATTTTGCATTTTTCAGTAATCAAAATACTATCTCTAACAATTTTAATTTGACTTCCTTCTGTTAGTTCAATATTATCAATATTAGTAATAATATTTTCTTCTATTTGTTCTTTTTTTTGTTTTTTTAAAATTTGATCAGTTTGATATTCATCTTTAGTTCGTTTACATAGTTGAATAGCATTATCACTTTTAATTTCTTCAGTTTCTTTAATTTCATAATCAGTATTATCTAAAATATGTTTTGCAGATATGATATTTGTTACATTAGATATTTTTGATAAAAGATTGGTATTTTGAATTTCTTTCTTATTTTTTTCATGTTCGTTTATTGCTAAATCATATTCTGTTCTATGATGTTTGTAAAAATGATTTTTGAGATTTGTTAAATTTGTTTTGATTGGATATGATGCTTGACAGAGATTACAAATAATTCTTGTTTTAAGAGAATTATCATGAAAATATGTTCGTATTAGATGAATATTCCTCATTTTAGTTGTTAAATTTTTTTTTAAAAAATAAAATATCTTGTTCTTAAATAATAAAAAGTTTTGTATATATTTTAAAATATAAATAAACATTGTTATTAGTTTATCTGTTTACAAAAAAAAGAATAAAAATAAATTAATTTATTTTTTTATTTTTTTTAATTGTTAAGGTGAGGTCATGCCCTCAAGTCTTTATTAGTATATTGGTTTTAGCTAGTACAATTTTTATCATACATCATCTA